GAACGAGGGGGGGGGGGGGGGGGGGGGGAAGTCACTGATTTGATACACACTTTACAACAAACTGAAAAAAGTAGTGCTATGCTAGCACTACAGGGACAGGCCCATTGAAGTGTTTATGTGGAAACAAAACAGAGAAAAAAAAAGGAACAGTAATTTGTATTTTCAAAAGAACATTAGTCTCCAATATAGAGAGTGTAAATTAATGTATAAAATCTTGTCCATTTTACTGTTAAATAATGCACAGCTAAGATCAGACAACTGAAACTGTTTTCTTCAGCATCTAAGTGTTATTTAAATAATGACATATTTTAGCTAAATATTCAGAAGTGTTAAAATAATTCTCAATGTCAAGATTCAGAGTGCAGTTGCTATTGACTAGACAGATATTAATATACCTCCAACTACTATGTTCACCATTTCCTGCACAATACTTTCTACAATTTCTTGCGCCTTCTCTTCACACTCATTGCTTTCACCATCATATGTTCCTCCATCAGCTTTAGAAAGATCTTTAAAAAGAAAAACAAACCCAGACAAATGTTAATGAGAAACTCAGAAATTAAGGAGATATTTTACTTGCATTTAATATTTTAAAATTCAATTACAGACCTATTAATAGGAAAGTATACGTAAAAAAAAGCCACGTTTGGATGCTTTGAAAATAGTATTTGCAGAACATAAGTATTCCAGTGCTTAACCTGTAACTGGTAATTAATCCACAGGCCTATACCAACAAAAGACATGAATTTTGTATTTTCATGTACATTAATCACTGAAAACTTACTGGTCTTGAAATGTTATTCTCAAAATCCTTCACAATATTACATAGGTGCAAAGAGGAATCTTTGCTACAGTGACTACAACAGAGTGCAGGACTAAAGGGCACTCGTGATAAAGTTTAACAGTGGTAACAAGGACAACAGGCATTTTGCATTAGTCAGCTATTTGCAAATACATGCCTGACTCCAGATTTGGGAAAGGGAATAAAAGACAATCCTCAAGCCTTTCTTTTTACAGACCTTTTCCCTCCCTCCATGAAACAGAAATACACACTGATTACTTTCTGCTGCTGTGGCTTGGTCGGCTTCTGTCTGTTCATTTTCAGCACTAGAAATATCAGATCCATTTTCTGCCTCTATATCTTCTTGAAGGTTCTTGTCCACATCATTTGTGCTGTGGTCAAGCTCTCTCTCATGTTCTTTGGACAGCTGATCAGTCTGTGTTGGAATATGTCTCAGCTGAGGTGACTCAGGCTCATGATGGCTTACTGGAGACTGCTGTAGATGGTGTTGCTGTCTGTGTCTTTCCTTTTCCATCTGTTTGGCTTCCTGAAGCTACAAAAACATTGCAATCACACAAGAATTTCACTATCCAAACAGAACACTGAGCTGTATACGTTTTATACCTTATTTTATAAACATGAAACCTCTATTGTCTCTGCTTAAACAGTGCCTTAATAAAGCTGTAACAGTTTAAGAAAATGCATCCTTTGTATTATTATAAATAATTTTAGTATCATGGGATAAACATTTGCAAGAGGGCTGCTTCCCAACTATGCACATTACACTTAACCATACCTTCACTGTGGAAGAGGGCTGCCTAAACCACACATAGTATAGGACCAAGAGTTGTCTGCCTGCCCTATAAGGAAGTTCAGCCAGTACATGTGACAATATACAAGGACCACGTGGAGAAACATCAGGGCAGATTTTTTTCTTTTTTGAAAGTTGTCACAAAGAGAAATATACTGGAGAACTTACAAGTCTTCTGTTATCCTACAAGCATATGGTATTAAGGGAAAGACCAAAAAAAAAAAAAAAAAAAAAAAAAAGGAAACTGACTAAACATCCAGGGTGGGGGAACAAAACGAGAGTTAAAAATCCAGAAGAGCAGCATTTCCAAAACACTACAGAAGACAGATCCTCAGGAAGAAATAATCATACTTAAAACTGTAAGACAAGGACTATTTTAGTTTCATGGTTCCTTGATCTGGAATCCCCAGAAAGTGAAGAATTTCTGTAACTTGTCTAATGGATTAAGACAACGGTTGTTAAAGTCAAACCAAAGCAGGGTGTCCTTCGAGGCAATGCTCTAAGGACTTTCTATCCTTGCAGAGCCTAGTATTTACCACAAGTCTGTAACTTTTTATACTGTTATTTTGGCCACTATAATCTCAGTCCTTTACTCTTTCACTTAAAGCTTTCTATGCTGTATCTTTTGGGGTACTATAGATCCCCAAGTATATAGTACCTTTCAAATTACAGCTCAAACAATTCCTTCTAGCATTTGTTAGCTATCATATTAAAAGAACTGCCCTGAGAGTGTGCAAAACAGGTAGAACTGCTTATTAACTTGCATAAAGACTAGACTTATAGTCTGGCAAAAATGAAGACTTCCATTGTAGAATAGTAATAATAATAATTTAAAAATAATAAAATAATAAAAATAATATAATAATAATCTATATTAAATTGGTTAAAAGGACAGTAACTGCAGATTTCTCAAAGCACTCAGACACTGCATAGCTTTTGCCATGACATCATAAATATGATGTCTCATAAATCTTAAGACTGTGACGGTACCATGTACGAATATGCAGTTGCTTCTGATAGGAAAGTAAGTTAAGTATTACATATTCTTAGAGAAAAGAGTTTGTAATAATACAGCAGAATCACTTCTAGAAGTAGCTAGGAATTCAACCGATTCTCAAATCTGGGCATCTGCTTTTGTGTGTGTTTGAGGTTTGGGTGGTTGTTTTTTTTTTTAAATAGGAATTACGATAATTACTTTGCCTTACTGATCTTTATTATCAGCAGTAGAAGGCACAGGGAATATGTTGGGGTCCCTGCTGACAACTCACAATAGCAATTTCAGTGACATATAAGTATCTGTTTGTGACTACTACACATAAAATGTTAAAAAATGTAAATGATTACATGACTGGAAAGGGGGTTTTTTGGTTTGTTTTAATCATGGATTACTTCTTTGGTGTTTATCATCACAACAACATTGGAGCATTTACCTAACACTAATGTACTCCTTACGCACTCTTACGCAGGTAGTGTGGCATCTCTTGACAGCCTGACAATAGAAACTGAAGTTGAATTAAATTTTCTATCATTAAATATAAAAGACCACTACGAGAAGTTTAAATGGTATACACCATCCCCACCCCCCAAAAAAACATTTCACACCTATTTCAGAGTGAAAAACACAAAAAGAACAATGTAAGATACCAGATTTTTTTTTCTTCAGAAGTACATAAGCTAGGAAAGCCCAAAAGGCTTTAATAATAATGACAAAACAAATCTTTCAAGCTGGTTTGCTTTTAAGAGATAGTTTCTATATAAAGATACTGAGATACTCACTGCTTGATTTTCCATACGTGCAAAAATGACATTCAGCATTTGTGTTAGAGTGGCCTTGGCTGTGGTTTGATTTATGAGATTTTTGCTTGCTAGATAGATATTGTAACATGTTCTTACAGCCTGTAGCACTGTTCCTTCGTGGATTTCTATGTGTTGAGATGTTACTGCAGTGAGCAAAGCCTAAATAAACAAGCACACACACATTTTTTTTTTCCAGTCAAAACTTTTCTTGTCAATCAAATAGTTTGCAAATGAGTAAATATCAAAATTGCATTACTTTTAAAATATAACTAAGTACACATCTTGAACTGCAGTTTAATTAAGTTTTCCCATGTACGCTGGTAGCCATATCAGAACATCATACATACCAGTTATATTAAATTGAGAGTGTTTTTAATCAACATATCTAGGAAATACATGCTTTATAGCATATAACAGCAAGAAGTAACCAATGGAGATATCGGACAGGTAGTTAATAAAAATCATCCTAAATTTTCTAGACACAAAACATGAACAACAGACTACCTATTAAAATCTGGAAAGCAATCCAAAGGGTCCAAAAGTTGTTTTACACATAAATGTAAATGCGAAGAACAAAGACTGAGTATGAGATTAGGCAGCTGTAAGTGGGACAACTACCCTTTCTAAACACTCTCTTTGGGTAGATGCTAGAATACCATGTTGCCCTCTCTGTAGAAATTAACTTCTTTCTTTCCATTTGAGCTAGTACCTGCTTGTCTTTTTTTACAAAAAAAATAGGCAAATAAGCCTTTAAAAGATCAGGTAACACAGAAGGAAGGAACACATCTTTAGGTGAGGTAAAGGCAGGCTGGATTGAAGAGCAGAAATACTGGCAGATGAAAGCTGAGGACAGGGTGTGAAGACATTGTCAGAGGCGCATGTTGGAGAGTGGAAGGAAAGGGGAAGAGCTTGGTCCGCAATAGAAAAAACATGTTTATACTGATCATTGTACTCCAGTAGAAGAAATCAGGCAATTTTATGCATTAAAGACTTTGACAGAGTTAATGATTTAATGGGATGTTTAGAGTAAGAAAGAAAGAACTGGAAGCACTGGAAAGCTCATACTTTTCTATCACAGTTTATCACAGTTAAAAACAATAGTTATTTTAAGTGTTGTGTCATTTACTCATCAAACTATGACTCATTTCTCTTACGCATATTGCCAGCACTTCTGTCCACACATGGCACCAACAAGTGGACAAAGCGTATCCATTGCTCACTCAAACCCTTTAAAAATCACTGTACAGCTTAGCAGGAAAAAGAAAATCAAAGACCCACCTCACCGAGCTGCTGCTGAAGAAACCTGAATTCTACTCCCAGATAAGCAGTCCACTTAAGGTCCCTTCTTATTCTACCTGTGGTGCCTCAGTTCTCTCATCAGTGGACATAGGGAGGTACATATATGGATGACTGTACTTACGTTTCCTACTGGAGAGTATACATTCTTACCTGCATGACTAACTAAACAGCATCTCACGCTACAATCTACAAAGTAGTACTGCCTAAATGCCCACTAGAAGTCTTTTTAATAAAAAATCAAAATAAAAAACCCCAAAACCCAACCAACTGAAGAAAAGAAATCACAGAGGTAGGCAAACTGTAGACAATGGTTTTGTTAAAGGAACTTATGTCTCTGAGCACTGGTACTGGCTTTTTTTCCTCCCAAAATTCGGTTTACGTGCCACCGGCCTTCTAAAAACCCAGAAGTGCTAAGTTGAAATTCATACCGTCATCCTTAATTCTTACCCTCTGTGTGCAACAATTCAGTATGTCCACAGAACTTATCAATACTCTTCTTCTGTTAATGGAAAAATCAGTCAGGGAAGAGGACATATAAAAGCCATAACAAAATCCAGTGCCTTATCTGGATGGAGATCAGTGACAAGTGGTGTCCCTCACGTGTACATATTGGGATGAGTACTATTTAGTATCTTCATCAGTAACATAGACAGTTGGATCGAGTGCACCTTCAGCAAGCTTGCAGATGACACCAAGCTGAGCTGACATGCCTGAGGGATGGGACACCAACCAGAGGGACCTGGACAAGCTTGGGAAGTGGGTCCATGTGAACCTCATAAGGCTCAACAAGGCCAAGTGCAACGTCCTGCACCCGGGTTGGGGCAACCCCTGGTATCAATACGGGCTGGGGGATGAAGGGATTGAGAGCAGCCCTGCGGAGAAGGACTTGGGGGTATTGATGGATGAAAAACTGGACATGAGTTGGCAATGTGCTCTCACAGCCCAGAAAGCCAACCATATCCTCGGCTGCATCGAAAGAAGCGTGGCCAGCAGGTCAAGGGAGGTGATTCTGCCTCTCTACTCTGCTCTGGTGAGACGCCACCTGGAGTACTGCATCCAGCTTTGGAGTCTTCAGTACAAGACAGACATGACCCTGTTGGAGCAGGTCCAGAACAGGGCCACAAAAACGATCAGGGGGATGGAACAACTCTCCTATGAGGACAGGCTAAGAGAGTTGGGGTTGTTTAGCCTGGAGAAGAGAAGGCTCCAGGGAGACCTTATTGTGGCCTTTCAATACTTGAAGGGGGGCTTACAAGAAAGATGGGGGCACTTTTTAGTAGGGCCTGTTGCAATAGGACAAGGGGCAATGGTTTTAAACTAAAAGAGTGTAGATTCAGACTAGATATAAGGAAGAAATTTTTTACGATGAGGGTGGTGAAACACTGGAACAGGTTACCCAGAGAGGCTGGAGATGCCCCATCCCTGGAAACATTCAGGGTCAGGTTGGACAGGGCTCTGAGCAACCTGATCTAGTTGAATATGTCCCTGCTCACTGCAGGGGGTTTTGAACTAGATGATCTTTAAAGGTCCCTTCCAACCCAAACCATTCTGTGATTCTGTTCTATGCTCCCTATATCAATGAGTGTGTCCCCAAAACCTATTTACATATTTAAACCATTCACCACCTGTCTCTTCCCTCTCCCCTTTGTTTTTAATACAAACACCTCCTATACTGGCCTACACATTTATCTTTCATTAAGTGTTATACTGTTCCACCTCTGCCTTACTGCTAGGAATTCCTGGGAGGGTTGTGAGACTTGCAGATACTGAGTTAAAACACACTGAACCCCATTAATTAGAGTTGTAGATCTCTTCTGATCAGGTAACATATCTCCACCCCCTACACCACAGTACTCTCACACTCCAAAATTCACCCCCAAAGATACTCATGTTAATTACAGCTCTGCTGCCTTCTCTCTTTCCTACATGTTTCAGGAGTGAACGTGATCACCCTGAAGGCAGGTAACTCCCAGTGATTAGATTCTGCACTCTCTGATCTTGCTGGAAAGGCTGCACACCTGTACGTATTTTAGTATCCTACTTTTTCAAGTTTTGTGCATCATAAAGTCCTGAAAGGCCAAAACAGAAAGCTCCCTTAATCTTTCACTAATAATTGTGTAACAGAATTAACCTTGGAGAACTTTGTCTATGCTAGTTTAAAAAAAATAAGATCAGTAACTCTTGAAAACAAGCCAAACAAGCGGAGCCCAGGCATAAACAGACAGCTATTTTTTCCAAAGCACTACTGTTTGGGCCCAATACAGTGAGTACTTAGATTTAGTTAAGATTTCTTTCACCCATTTCCAAAAGATAACACTGACATACACACACTTACAACAAATCAGTTTAAGAACCTCCTACAATTTATCACTTGGAAGAGAAGGTCTCTTGCTGCCTAGCATTTAGGACACTAACGAAAAAGTGCAGGGGGACAGGGGGATCAAGTCTCCATCTCTTTTCTTCTAGCTATGTCATTCATAAAGTTACTCCTTTGTGTCACTTTCTGTCTCCTTGTTAAATTCAGGTGATTAACAATTTGATATTTGGAAGTCCAATTTTAACTTCCATCTCCGTTCAGTAAAGTCTTATGGGTTTTTTTTTCCAACTTTTAATAGTAGGAGACAATGCTTTTGTTTTAATTGGCTTAACAGCCTGAATCTTGTAAGTTTCTTCAGTATGCTTGTTATGACTACTAGAGCTTGCTTCTTTTCACATCACCTGGTAAGGGAGTGTCTAGAGGAAGAAATGTTTACACACACAGAGGGACATACCTCCTTAACAGATTAATCCAAACTCACTGAATAACTACATCTCCTATGCAGACTGAGAAATCAGTCTTTCCAGCAGGACATCTCCTTGCAGATACCTATTAAAGAGTTCAGCTTGTCTACAGAGGTCCTGACAGTCACTTCTTTGGGTTTCTTTCCTTCTCAGGCACTAGAGGCAAATGAACCCTAATGACCTCTACACATGTCTGTAAACTGATAAGCATTTTTAACTTTGATCTTTTGCTATTACCTTTCATATTCCTTCCAATTTAGAGCCATCCTCAGGCTATTAGTCGTGCTTAGTTCATGTCTCAATGCCATTTCTTTTCCTCTACTATCACAATCTAGCAGAAATACAAGAATGAACATGAGACAGGAAGTATTTTACAATTACTTTCTGACAACATCCTTCCCTTTTGGCAGCTTCCATTTAGGGCTCAATTTGACAACATGCCGTAAACAACATCACCTCATTCTGTATCGTAAAAGAGAACATCATTACCACAACTGGCATGACAGCTAACCCTGAGAAACCACAGGTTAGAATCAGGAGTGGCAGTCCTGCTCTTCTGAAACCCTTGTCAACTCGTATGTTAGAAGACTAATCCTTCCCTTCCTCACTTTATCTGTTTTCATCAGATTAACCCCCAACCCTACCCTGTGGCCAAACAGCTACTAGGTCCAATGCAAGGAGGAAGAGAGGGGAGACAGATGAGAAGACAACCACCTCAGCTACAGTCCCCAGTTAAGAAAGATTACACAAAATCTCAAACTGCTATGCAGCAATGCATGTCCTTGAGAGGTGGAACAACAAACACTCTGCCTTCCTCCCAGCGATATGCTCTTACTGCTTATTTTACAATAGGTCTGGGGCATGAAGCCACCTGTGCCACCTGTTTAATGGCAACACATTAATACAATTAAAAACAAAACAGAACAAAACCCCCCCAGGTGCTTTTCTGGTGTTTAGTTTTGGGGTTTTGTTTGTTTGTTTGTTTTAAAAGTGATTTTAGTTGATTCAGAGTATTAAATGCATGCCAGGACAAGGGATGAGGCAGGACAATGTCTGGGAGCAAAGCCTGGACAGGAAAA